TGTTTTTTATATAATTATTCTTAGTTATAGTTAATTGACGAAAATACCCTTAAATTTAACTGAAACTTTAACGGAGTTAAATGAGGTGGTGGATTGGAACACTTTACAGAGTTCATGTGGCTAAAAATAAAAAATAAAAGTTCAGGTTGTAACGACGCACATGCCTGAAAGTTTAGAGTATTTATGCAAATTTCCCTATTTTTTAATTAATGAAACTAATTGAATTGTGGCATTTGACCTGATTTGCTGACTATTGCAAATATGGTGACCAAAATCGGAATTAAAATTATGGTGACCAAAATTATTTTCAATCATAGTGACCAAAAATATTTTTGCAACTAGTGAAATTGCATTTTATCAAATGCAATTTGTTCCTGTTTGTAACGTTGTGTCTCTATGGTCACTACTGTTACGAAAAATTAGTTTGGGTTTTATATAAACCCATGGTTTTGTTAATTCCAAGTAAGAGTTTTCCTCCACTCGTCATATGGTAAGCCTAGCATTACCCTGCATTTTATCAAATGCAATTTGTTCCTGTTTGTAACGTTGTGTCTCTATGGTCACTATTGTTACGAAAAATTAGTTTGGGTTTTATATAAACCCATGGTTTTGTTAATTCCAAGTAAGAGTTTTCCTCCACTCGTCATATGTTACAATTTCAGGTTTTCCAAATATTCTTCCTACTGGTGTTAAGGTAGTACAAATATATAATTGGTTCACAGAGTCCAAAGTTTGTTGATATAGGACGAATTATGGGTTAATTATGGTGTGAAAATTAATTAAAATAAAGTGGCTCAAAATTGGAAGGAAATCGTGCAAGAGAGGAAAGTTCCGATTAAATGTCAATTATGGCACTAGGAAAAGAAGGAAAGCGTATTGTTGGGATTTTTGGATCAATTGAATAAATTGAAGCAAATGGATTTTATCAAGATTTATATTTACTTTAATGTTTTATTTATATTTTTAGAATAAATTATCAATCAAGATATTATTTTCCTAATATGATTTTAATTAGGATTTTTATTATTTTCTTGTTAGCTATGTTTTAGGAATATTCTGGAACTTAGGGTTTCCAATGGTTTTAGGGTTTCTTTGTTTTCTATTTAAGCCAACTCATGGCATTGTATTGTTAGTTAATTCCATTTATTATCAATCAAATACCTTTGATTTTTACTCTAGTGGGTTTCGACATTGTTACTTTAGGGTTATCGTTCGATCTCCCTATTCCCCTATATCTCATTGCGTCAGTTGGTATCAGAGTAGGTTTTGCCTGACTCGATATGTCACCAATGGGTCATCCAAACGAGGAAGATAGGATCCGTGAAGACGGGGAACCAATCACTCTTAGAGAATTTGATGTTGCAGTTGTTCCATACTTCATGGGGAGTGACTCCATTGTAGGCTTTCCCCAATGGGTTGTAGATGTAGATAAATTATTTGATTCAATAGCGATCCTAGAAGACAAGATCGTGAAAATTGTTGCGTCACGTTTAGAAGATGATGTCGCTTATTGGTGGGATTTGATGCGGAAATCTAGGAAGCAACAAGGTAAAAATCCTATCAGTTCTTGGCGTTGGATGAAGAGACTTCTTGTAAAAAAATTCTTTCCTTTTGAATATGATATATATTTGTTAAGAAATGGTTACAAGATTGCTCAACCCAATATCACGGTGTTGTGCAAAAACACTCCAAGACCTTGTCATTAATGGAATACACAACTCCCACACACAAGACACGCAAATATAAAGTACACACACCAATCGAAAAGTAAACACACAACACATAAAGAACACAAGAATTTATAGCGGTTTGGCATTGTGCCTACGTCCTCTAAGGTGATCCCCGAGAAATTCACTAGTAAGAAACAACCCCTTTGGTTACAATGAAGAACCCCATTTGTTCTCTCTCAAACCCTAACTCTCTTTTCTCTCACCCTTGGCTTAAACCCAATTTGATGCCCTTTGTGTTCTCACGTTATGAAAACCTAGCGCTAAAGTGTCCATTTATAGTTCATAGGACTTAAGTACAAACCTAATAGGAATAGAAGACTTAACCTAACCCAAATAAGCTGGAAAAAACCCCCAAAACCAGTGTAAAATACCAAAACACACTGAGCAAGAAAAGCACTTAACAAGCAGTCTCTTTGCACAGAGACTCCAATTCACTCCAGCACTTCGCAACTGTTGCTTTCGGGTTTATGTGACCTGTGGGTTTCGGAACCAACGACGGGTCACATGCTGCTTCTCCTTCCTATTTCCGCATCAAAGACGTGCCAAATTTCAACAATTTCCACCTTGATGAGGCTTACACACCTTGGCGAGCCTTATTTCTCACGTTATGAAAACCTAGCGCTAAAGTGTCCATTTATAGTTCATAGGACTTAAGTACAAACCTAATAGGAATATAAGACTTAACCTAACCCAAATAAGCTGGAAAAAACCCCCAAAACCAGTGTAAAATACCAAAACACACTGAGCAAGAAAAGCACTTGACAAGCAGTCTCTTTGCACAGAGACTCCAATTCACTCCAGCACTTTGCAACTGTTGCTTTCGGGTTTATGTGACCTGTGGGTTTCGGAACCAACGACGGGTCACATGCTGCTTCTCCTTCCTATTTCCGCATCAAAGACGTGCCAAATTTCAACAATTTCCACCTTGATGAGGCTTACACACCTTGGCGAGCCTTAAACACCTTTTGACGTAGCCTTTTCATGTAGACACAACAAGCAATGTGTGTTACTGTCAACCCCTTCTCAGTTAGCCTATGCAGCACATTGCACAAGAATAGAAAGACCATAATTAGAGATATTATTTATTAATACAAAGAAATGCAGCAAATTGAACTAAAAATCATACTTAATGCATCAATTATCAGAATCAAGGACACAAGACCGCTTCAAGCACGGCCCGAGCCTAGCCCATTTAGCATTTTTTTTTTCTTCTCAAAAAGTCAAAATACAATAATTTGACATCTAATGTCATTGTTTATATGTTTTAAAAAAAAAAATCATAAATATATATTTGATGTCTTTCATTATAGGGAAATTATTTGGGTCCTTAATTAATTAAACATATCAACTACAAATTAATTAAACAACATTGGACTTGATATTTAATCAATACATATGACATATACGCTTCTCTTATAATCAAAGCAAGACATTTCTTCACATATAAATAATAAGTTGTTTAAAGATGAAAAGTTGAAGTGGAGTTGGACACTTTTTGCCCTCCGCCCCTTCATATTGTTTGGATATTTGATTGATTAATGTTTTCAAATAGTTCATCATTTTTTGCCTCTAATTATATTTTTAATGTTTATAATTTGAATTATCTAGTGGAAAAAAAAAATTAAGAGAAAAAAAATCAAATTAAATGGGTTTGTTATTAGGCCCGAGTATGGCACGAGCACGAGCACGAGCTCGGCACAAGCCCGGCCCGGCCCGTTTCAATGTGGACATGCATTTTGGGCCGGGCCGGGATAAATGATTTTATTAAATGGGCCGGCACGGCACGAAAATGTTAAAAACACGAGTTTAAATGGGACGGGCCGGTCCGACACGGCCCGTTTGACACCTCTACACTAAACATAGGCAAAGGCTTACATTGAACTAAAAATCATACTTAATGCATCAAATATATATCACAATAAAAAAACACAAGAATTAAAAGACTTTAAGTTAATTCTGTTTTATACAAGGAACATAGTTGAATATAATTAGCCATTATCTTCAAAGACTGAATAAACAACCAAATGGTGATATATATAGTCTCGATCTCTTGGACTACAAGGGTCCAAGAGATTTGCGGTCACTATCCGTTGGATGTAAATTCAACGACTTACTCATTCTTACATCCAACAACTTACTCATTCTTACAAAGTGTTAGTATAAATAACTCTAATAATAATCGAAAATTAATAAATTAAAAAGAGAAAAGGGAAGAAGCGGCGATGCTGTTGTGGTTTTGTGAGTTGTTAATTTCTTGTGTGGGAAGTGGAAGTGGGAATGGGAAAGGGCAGTAGCAGGCGGGTGAGGGCGTTCAAGCGGTGGATGAAGCGGGAAGGGATCGAATGCAGCGACGCCCTGGACTTGAGGGACGAAGGAGTCGAAATCGGAATCAGCGTGAGAGCCCTAGCCCTCCTCAAGGAAGGGGACGTGGTGGCCAGAATACCAAAGCTCACGTGCCTCACCACCAGAACCACCGCCGCACGTGACATTATCGCCGCCGCCGCCAACGCCGGTGAGGGCGAGGAGGAGTCTTGTTTAGGAGGGTTAGCAGGGCTGGCGGTGGCGCTGATGTACGAGAGGAGCTTGGGAGAGCGTTCACGGTGGGCCCCATACCTTGAGCTGTTGAGCAAAGAAGAAGAGTCGTTGCCTTTGGTTTGGAGAGCCGACGAGGTTGAGCGGCTGCTGGCAGGGACAGAGCTGGAGGGAACGGTCAAGGAAGACAAAGGTGTTATGTGGAAGGAGTGGAAGGAGAGCATTGAGCCCACGATATTACTGCAAATGCATCCTTTGGATGCTGCCGCCGTTGAATTCGACCCGAGCTTCTTCGGATTCGGAGACTACTTGGCGGCAAGGACGCTGATATCTTCTCGCTCTTTTCAGATTGATGAATACCACGGAGTGGGAATGGTTCCTTTGGCTGACCTGTAAGTCTTATACAAACCCTGCTGCTGCTCTTTACTTCTTGTTGTGATGCTTTGTTTATATCACTATCAATCACTGAAATGGATGGATGACAGATTTTATTATTTATTATTGTTTTAATGTTCTTTTGTACTTTGTCTAAATCCATAATCATAAGTTCAATTCAATTCAATTAAATTCAATGTAGGTTTAATCATAAAACGGGAGCTGAGGATGTGCACTTAATGACCTCTCCTCACAAAAGTGAATCCAACACCACCCAAGAAAACAATGAATCTGATACTACTAGTACTAGTATTAGTGCCATTCATGATGACGATACAGAGCTGGAGGGAACGGTCAAGGAAGACAAAGGTGTTATGTGGAAGGAGTGGAAGGAGAGCATTGAGCCCACGATATTACTGCAAATGCATCCTTTGGATGCTGCCGCCGTTGAATTCGACCCGAGCTTCTTCGGATTCGGAGACTACTTGGCGGCAAGGACGCTGATATCTTCTCGCTCTTTTCAGATTGATGAATACCACGGAGTGGGAATGGTTCCTTTGGCTGACCTGTAAGTCTTATACAAACCCTGCTGCTGCTCTTTACTTCTTGTTGTGATGCTTTGTTTATATCACTATCAATCACTGAAATGGATGGATGACAGATTTTATTATTTATTATTGTTTTAATGTTCTTTTGTACTTTGTCTAAATCCATAATCATAAGTTCAATTCAATTCAATTAAATTCAATGTAGGTTTAATCATAAAACGGGAGCTGAGGATGTGCACTTAATGACCTCTCCTCACAAAAGTGAATCCAACACCACCCAAGAAAACAATGAATCTGATACTACTAGTACTAGTATTAGTGCCATTCATGATGACGATATGTCTGCTTCTATCACTGTTGACAAGGGTGAGGGTGACGATAGTGGATGTGAGGGTGACAACAGTGAGGGTGGCAATGGTGATGGTGACGATAGTGAGGGTGGTGATGATGACGACAATGATGATTACGGTGACGGTGATGGTGATGACAGTGATGATGATGATTTGGAAATGACTATGGTGAAAGATGTCAAACTGGGAGCTGAGGTTTGGACTTCCTTTTTTCATATTTCATTTTATTTATTTATAAAAATTATAACTAAAACTAAAGGCAGCAATCCAATAACTGTCTTGGTTTTTATTTTCAGATGCATGCTATAACTATTGAATTTCCTGTCTCTAGCCTCTGCTGCAAAATTTAAATATCAATTTCTCATAGGCTAGAGCTATGAGAAGATGCCATTACTGGAACTATGCCTTTCCTCTTCTTGTTTCAGTACTATATATAAGCCATGGGCGCTTTTCTTGTTCATCTTCTTTCAGTACAAGTGTGAAATCCATGGGTAAACTTTTTTGTTTCTTTTATTCTTTTCCTTTTCTTCTCTTCTCAGGTCTTTAATACATACGGGTCATTGGGTAATGCTGCACTGCTTCACAGATATGGATTTACAGAGCCAGATAATCCGTATGACATTGTCAATATCGACTTGGAACTGATACTCCAGTGGAGTTCATCCTTGTTTTCTGGCCAGCATCGTAGAGCAAGGCTATCCCTCTGGAAAAGATTGGATTACTCTGGATGTGTCACCCACAACTCTGAATATTTTGAGGTTTCATTTAATGGAGAACCTGAAATTGAGATGTTGGTTTTATTGTACATAATGTTGTTACCACATGATGCATATTATAAGATGGATCTTGCTCTAGCAACTGCAGGAAGTTCCAGTGAACCCATGGACATCATTTTTTCCGATAAAAGCAAAAAATCGTGCCACAAAACTGGACTATTGAGTGAGGACCTGTTGCTGACAAAATGTCTTTGTAATGCTCTTTTGTCCCTTGCAGATATGCGGGATAGCCTTTATGGTACAAATTCAATAGAAGATGATATAGAAGCATTGGGCAGGTGTTGTTGCATAAGTGACAAAAAGTTGTACCATTCGTTGATGCTTCGTATCAGTGAGAGGAGGATCCTTCAGAAGCTTAAAATGTATGCTGCTAAAGAAACCTCTGTTAAGAAGAAGTTGAAAAGAAAATGAGTTTAGGACACTTACTAAATTATCATCCATGGCTTTTCTTTTTCCACTGCCTGTTTTCATGGCTATGACTTCCTCGCCTGGTGAAGGTATGTAAGCCACAAGGGAGATTCATTTTGTTGAGATTGTGACCATAGAGACCATTGTGAAGCAACTTGGTGGCATGTAGGCATTGTTTAGAGAGATTCTTTTTGTTAAGATTGTGACCATAGATACCATTATGAAGCAACTTGGCAGCATGTAGGCATTGTTTGCCTTTATAGCTGATGATTATAGCGTTTTTGCATGTCCAGCAGCACATTCTGCATTTTTCTAATTCATTTTGTTGAGATTGTGACCATAGAGACCATTGTGAAGCAACTTGGCGGCATGCAGGCATTGTTTAGAGAGATTCTTTTTGTTAAGATTGTGACCATAGATACCATTATGAAGCAACTTGGCAGCATGTAGGCATTGTTTGCCTTTATAGCTGATGATTATAGCGTTTTTGCATGTCCAGCAGCACATTCTGCATTTTTCTAAATTAGGAAACCCTAGTCGAATTTGGTTTTGTGGCATTGTTGTAGACCATTTTTCAATCTCTATCACGGCAAATGCCTCACGGGATAACCTTTCATGATAAAGATTTGTCTGAGAGTTTGTATTTTATTTTGTTCTTATTAATTTTATTAGTACAAATTGTTTTCAGTTCTTATAGCACGTTTCTTATAGCATGTTTCTTAATATTTGTGTTGTGACAATTTGCAAATATATTTATCTTTTGGGTTATGCTGGACTACCTTGATATAATAATTTTAGGATTTTTTTATGTGTAGCCTCTTTTGCGAATGGAATTGATGGGAAGAAACATAAACTATGATTGTTGAACAGCTTATTGGCATAGGCTCTATATCTTTGAGCTAGTGGCATTATATCAACAATGTCATCGATAGATCGGTTCAGTGACGTCGGGGAAGCTGTGCCGGGCAGGATTTGGAATTGAGTTTTATAGAATACCCAAACTCGGTCATTTGCTGAGGGCCTCTTTTATCTACACTAGCCTCTTCACAGTAGGGTCGATAAGTGTTATTTGGATCCAGTATACTCATGAGACCTCACCTCCCAAAAATAGTTCATATATTCGCCTACTTCATGATGCAATGAGGGATAAAAACGTTTAGAAGTGTCACCCTGGATCCCTATGCTATAGAAAAGAATAAAATCTCAAAATAATAATCTCTACCGTTAATTGCTCTACCTCTACCTTTATATGATTTTATCTTCATTTCAGTAGATTACAAAGGGTAGTGTTAAACGAATCCTAAAATTAACCAATTATACCCTATTATAAAATTACTTATTAAATTATTAATTTATCCTAATATAAAATGACCAAAAAGGATATATTGAATTGTAAAATAAATGTAACTTTACTCATCATATTCAACCCTAATTCAACGTCACCCAATCTCATGGTATTATTAATTTAGGGAGAAGCAACCCCAACATCCCTTGCAGCCCTCTGCACTTACAAAGTGATGCATCGATGAAAACCACCTATGTTTGTCATTCTTACTTCATTCCTATACACAACGTGAAACATCCTGTTTTTGTTTGTGCTAATCACATTACCAAGAGTACTGTTGGTCCCTTTTTTCCTTGTTCCTCCAGGTCGACTCTTTTTGGGAACGGAGCAAGAGAGAGGAAGAGGTTGGGTCAACACCAATGCCCTGATTGGATCTCTGGTTCGTGAAAGGACTAGTTCAATTTCAAACAAAATTGAAAGTTGGATCAGGTTGAGAAAAGCAGGTGAGCACAGGCTGGCCCCTGATGGTTTTGCTTCTTCTGGCCCGATCGTAAGTTGCGTAGGCATGCCACTATTGGGGATGAGACCAGCCCAATAGACCTAGTGTATGTGATGTAGAATGTTTTGTTTGATGGATTTGTGCTTGTTCTGGACCATTAATCAAGCCATTGTGCTCTAAGGGGGGTACTGGCTCAGATGAGTTCTTTTCTATGCCTCAACTAAGAGGACATCAATATTCTTTCAATTGTGCATCTATGGCTTGGTAAATACGAACAATACCTAGCCAAATAGAAAAACCAATGTTGAGGTCAAAGCTCCCTTGATTGGGCTCAGGAACCTAATTCGGGCTCGAGATAACCCTGGATTGGGTTAGGATTTAGTTAATTTGGGCCCAATGGTATGATTCGGGCCTGGACCAACCCTTGTTTTTGGGCTAATGAAGCCCTATTCGAACCTAGAACCCTTGTTTTGGGTCTATCTAGTAATGAACAGTTATATCAAAAGATTCAAATATAAAAATGCAGGAAAGTAAACTATTGCAAAGTAAGATACAAAAAGATAAATGGTAGGAATATAAAGTACGATTAAGGTAGATTGCAGAGAGAATAAAATTCCAGAAGCTGGAGATTTCTCTATCCAACTCCAACATGATAACAAGTTAAAACGAAAGTTAAAAATTTCTCCATTTAGCTGTTTTTAAAGAACAAGTTACAATATTGAAGAGATTGGAGATTTCTCTTATCCAATATGTACATGTTTCAGAAGGAAACTAGATTGACTATTTAAACAAGAATCATACCATGGAGATGGCAAAGCAATAAAAGATAAACGCAGGAGTTGTCAACTGGTGATCTGGGCAACAAGTTCGCTATTTGAAGATCTTGAAGTTTTGTTCAAGTGTTTACAAGACGTTGCGTCTGATTTTGGAGAGAGTCCCATAGTGTTGATGTTGAGCCTTTATATTTATAGGTAGAAAATCTTCAACAATGGCAATGAAGGCTGGAAGATAACACTTAAGTGTTATCCAAAGTCAGTTGTCGATTTGTCCTTGTGAGTCGGTCCATGGGTAGGAGAAATGATATCTCATATGGAAACACCAGTTTCAAGGAATACCCCTTTGATTTGTCGTCCTTTCGCACCTGGAAAACCAGTCGGAAGACGGTTCGTCTTAGTTTTGGTGTCAATTAGCCAGCCTGCTTTATTGCTGAGAGAGACGGCGGTCAAGTCATTCTTAATGGCGAAAAACTCATCTTCAGAAAGTCACATGGGTCAACTGGTAACGGTTACTTATTTTCCTAACTTAAGTGTGGGTTAAAGCTGAGGCTTGCCCAAATACGGAAAAGCCCTTTTTTCGTTAATTTCGAAAGAAAGGAACTGGGCCTGGGCCTCATGTGACTCCATTTGAAAAATAAATCAAATTTGGTCTATTTTTCAAATGTGGTACAAACTAGTACACACAAAAAAAAATCTCAGGACAGATCATGGAATTTCTTATAAAGCTATACAAAGAAGTAAATGTTTCATTTCATCCAATGCTAACAATTTGCGGTTGCCTATATGCCAATGTCCCCCCTAGCCTAGTCTGGTTATGAGTTGGAATTGCTTTCACTTTCCACTCTGTACTTGCGGCCATAGTTCACAGTAAATGGCATAAAGAATGATAATATACTAAGTTTGAAACAAAATGCATAAAATATGACAACTAGCACATCAAACTCGCATCAGGAACAACAATTTGATCTGTATGTGTGTTCTCAATCAGCCGGGCATTTGAGAAGCTTCGGTTTCCAGTGCTTGTAATGAACTGTGGCTGCTTAGAATTCAAACTCGTCACAGACAGCTCTCGAATGGGTTTGGTTTTGTGTGATAGTGTATTAGAGTATACCAAGAATATTTTTTATAGTTAAATAAGATATAGTTAATTAATTTTATATTTTGATTTAAATATTAGGATGTACTTAGATCATAGAATGTACTCATTGATTTTAGAGTTTATTTAACAACACCCCAAATTATATGTGGAGTTTAAACTTAAACCACGTTGGCTTTTCTTTTTTAATTAATCAACAACTTATTTATACTCTTTTTCCAGAGAACTTATTTATACTCTTAAGTATATTAACTGTAAATCGAAGAATAATTGAAAAACCTCTATGCAAAGAGCAAGTCCAGCGCTAGGCAGTTGCCATGGCAACATGCGCCCCCAGCAAGGTTTGGACCTCCAGCGCACAAAAGATAGACCGGGCAAGGCATGGGACCCACCAGCCTGGGCAAGCCCACGGGCAAATACTGCTAGGGCTCAAGCTCGAAGGCGCTGATGTCACATTAACATCAGTGAGCAAAAAATATTCAAATTTGTTTTTTAAATACCAAAAAATTATGGATAGTTTCCTATAAATACATAACAATTTTATTCACTTTCTACACCAAATCCTCTAAATTGTTTATATTTTGTTGCATAATCTTTTTTTTTTCTTGCCCTTGCCCTAGCCTTTTGGGCCTTTTGGGGTGGACTTGCTCTTAAAGATAGAAGAACTGGACCTAACTGAACTGATTACAGGTTGGTAGAAAAATAAACTTTTTAGCATAAATTGAACCGAACCGCTCATACAGTAATGATTCAACTAAGGACTTACCCTTTATTTACTGTAAATAATGTACAGTGATTATATATATATATATCACATACAGTTGGGTTTTAGGACATCTACTTTTCAACATTATCCTCCAGTTTATAATATTAATTGGATACAGATGTTTATAATTGCTGATACAAAACCTGATCATTCAACATGCTCTAAAGTGTTCATAGAAAATCTCACTTCCAGAAGTCCAAACATCGACGACTTCACATGACGGCACAAAAAGATGCTCTAAGGTCTACTAGTGAGCCTTGATATGTGGGTAGAGTCCCAAAATGTGCTCCGGCATGAAGTCATGCCGTGTTAGAATTCCGACGATTGGAGGTCTCTGCAACGTGTACAGAAAAACATCAGAAAGTTGCTTAGAAATTAGTTTCGGAAATTTATTTGGAACTGTTATTGAACTTTAAAAGGTAAGGAAGATTGGAGACAAAATCATCCAAAGTTTCCAAGAGTAAATAAAGAGAAATATACCAAAGCAGATGCAAACAGTGGCCTATTTAACTTGAACTAGAACAAAACAAAAAAAAGAGGAAAGGAAATGTTGAGATTTCTTCTCCAGGATAAGGTATAGTACTTAAATTTCCACCAAGATTGGCAGCCTTATTCACATGCTAGAACTAACCATACACAGAAAGAAAGAGAGCAGGAGAAAAGGAAGGGGAGAACAACTTACCCCTTGGCTCTTTGGTACCAAACACAGGTGTCTTAGACCAAGTTGCCGAAAGAGAATAGCAGCCTTGGCTAGTGACATTGTCTCAACGACTGTGTACGGCGATGCATTT